ACCCAAATGTTCTTACTTTCTTAGAAGCAAATTCCTATACCATCCACCTTAAGGCATGGAAGACCAGAAAATTACAAGTCTTAAATATCCACAAAGAACTGAATATTTTTCATGGTTTTCTGGGACACAGTGTACTGTGTTCAGCTCTGGGGACTCCAACATGAGAAGGACATTGACCTGTTGGAGCGAGTCCAGAGGAGGGTCACAAGGATGAAATGAGTGCTGAAGCACCTGTCCTACAAAAACAGGCTGAGAGGTTTGGGGTTCTTCAGCCTGGAGAAGAGAAGGCTCCAGGGAGACTCAGAGCAGCCTTCCTGTACCTAAAGGGGTTACAAAATATTTACAAGGGCCTAGACTGACAGGACAACGGGGAATGTCTTTAAAGGGAAAGAGAGCAGGTTTAGATTAGATATAAGGTAGAAATTCTTTATTGTGAGGGTGTTGAGGCACTGGAGCAGGCTGCCCATAGAAGGTGTGGATGCCACATCCTTGGCAGTATTCAGGTCCAGACTGGATGGGGCTTTGAGCAATCTGATCTAGCAGAAGGTGTCCCTGTCCATGGCAGGGGCAGTTGGGACTGGATGATCTTTAAGGCCCCTTCCAATCCAAACCATTCTATGATTCTATGGACAATTCCAAATACTGCAGAGAATCTTACTGCCTAATCACTGAGAGCATTTAATGGCACAATAAGAAAAATAGGAAGAATTAGTGGCTCGCATCCAGAGACAGAAGGACGTACACTTAAACAGAACAAGGACTGCACATTCTCCTGCTGTGTGATATGCTGCCTGCAGGAACAAACACTAAACCCAGATTTCACCATTCCCTATTGCATGCAAAAGGACAAGAAGTCCTGGGTATTTCTTACTGTGTCACTGAGGATCACTGATGCAATAAGTTGCTAACGTTCTCCTGCCATCAAAGCTTTATTCACATAATGACCCTTCTGCTTTTATACCTTGGAAACACAAAACACTAAACAAAACTCTATTCTCCACCCTGATAAATCTCAGAGGAACACATGCTTGGGATAAATTCAACTATGTTAGTAAATGCATAAAAATAATAGCAACAGAGAATTAAACTCCCAAATGAGGAAATTCATTATATTACCCTCAGAATTTCAACACTACATAGTATATGAGCTTGAAAACACACACTGTAAGGCATGACAGAGATGAAATACTAAGCATCTGCTTATTAAGAGAACAGTTGACTATGTCTTCTGCAATGGAGAGCTGAGGTTCCTAGAAGCATAAACATATAATCATGCACTGTGCCACAATCTTTACACAGCACCCAACAAAGTCAATTACAACTGAAGAGGCAACCTTAATTCTTCCAGCATTAGAATTTTCCATTTGACACCTTTCCATGCTTTTCATGCAGATTTCATGCTTCAGTTGAAGGATGGGAATTTCTGTCAATATAACTAATTTTCTGCTTCATATAGAACATGAATCCTTAATAATATAAGTACAAAAATCCTTATTAATATAACTAATTTTCTGCTTTGTAGCACATAAACCAAAACCATGTGCTGTATAGCACATGACCAGCACATAAGGCTGGACAAAGACATGATGGGCCAGAGATATTTCCCCCTTTTACTCTGAGAACTGAACCACTGAAGAAGCTCATGCTCCATGTCAAGCATGGACTAAATTCAAACCTAAATTCTGTCTTGAAGTCAAGACATTTGGACAGAGGACCAAGCTTACATCATTTTTGGTTTAAACCCATCATTGTGAGGATAGCCCAGACCTTTTGCTACTTTTCAGCATGGGTTCAGCAATGCTGACTGCCTAAACATGTGTGAGGTTTTCAGGAAGCCAGCCTACAGACACTGTCTCATTAACAGCCAAGACAGGTAGACTGTTAATAACAAAGCATGGACTACGGTTTCCTCGGGACTAGGTTCTGCAACAGTGGTGGAAATAATTAATTATGTAAATAACTAAGTACAGATTATTACCTGAAGAAAATAATTAGCTGAGGTATGCAGGTGTGCACAGACACAAACAAGCTCATCTGTTTATAGAAGGCCATATTCCACCCAAGAGCTGTGGAAACAAGAGCTGCTGCAGCATGGCAAGCTGACAGTACTTGGTATTAGCAAGGTAACAGGGATATTAGCTATCCAGAGCCTCACCTACCAGACACAGGGGCACTGAAGGCCTCTTGGTACTCTTGCCTGTGTTGGTCAAGTGAGGCATCTCTTCCCAGGGACAGCTATAATAGGGCCCAGAAGATCTGTGAGGCATTGATGTTAAGACCAAGAACAAATCAGATCAGAAGGCAAGCTGCATATACATCTCTTGGGGTAGGAGGAAGCTGGAGTGTACCCCAGTTACATTCTTTACATTCTTTCAGTCCATTTTCACTATCAGGTGCCGGACTACACTGGGTAGAAGCTTAGACAACTGTTAGTCCAGTTATTTCTAAATGTCATGTCCAAATATCATTCTTAAAAATTAATTTCCAAATGAGAGTGCAGCATATTTTTTACTGAAAAAAAAAATCTGATTTCTGCATAATTTATACTGTTCTTTCCCTAAGTCATTTCTGTGCCCAGCTGCCATGCTGAGCTAAGGGCATCTGCATCTCAATTTAAAAGACTGGATTTAAAACCAGAAGTTAACACAAGCTTAATGTAACACAAGCAAATGGCATTTGTCATTATTCCTTTCAAGCTTGCCATAGCTCCCACATTTCCTGAAGCCCTAAACAAGAGAGTGCATTCGTCACATTTGTCGGAAAGCCAAGGCAAAAAGTCAAAAACAACAAACATCATCAGTCTGTTCCTTCTGTCAGCCTCACCTAGAACATCATTAACTAATTGATGAAAATGCGATTTCATGGCTTGCTTCCCCAACATCCTGCAGCTGCACTAAAGGACTAACTTTGTGACTGTGGGTTCATGACCTAGGACACGCACTTTCAAACCTGTATTCTGTGTAAATAATCTGTTCCTACTCATTCACTCAACTTAATTGATCATTTCTCACTCTGTCTTGTGAGAAATGAGGAAATATCATCATGGAGCTGTCTAAAACTTCAAGTGTCCTGGATTTAATCCATACCTGTTAAAAACAACTTGCGTATGTATACATACTAGACAAAACTTCTGTTTCAGTTTTCTCCTTTTATACATTTTTGCTTTCACTGGAGTTGGCAAAGAAATTAAGGTAATTTCTAAATAATCAAGTAATGGAGGAAATAATCCAGCTATTTCTTTGATTCTTTCAACATTTGTTTTGTATTTCCAGCCACCAATTGACAGTACTTGAAGACAGAGCCTTGGATATAATCAAATCCATCTCTTTGTCAGGATGAAGTAATGTCTCTTTCATGAATTCTCAAACATAAAAAAAAAAAAAAGAAGAAAAAGAAAAATACAGTTCCTTTCTACAACCTTATTCATCTTTTCTGATTCTGCAGAAAACACCTTCATTTTTCAAATGTATGCTACCTGGATCACTCAAAGGAGAAAGAAAACCATAGGAAACCAAGCCCCTCTGTTTTCACAGTCCTGGTGTTCTGCCCAAAGCAGGACTTTCTGATGCTAATCTCAAAGGTAGCCCACCACACCATTAGAAAAGCTGCAGTCCAGAGCCTTGACTGAGGCCAGATAATGCTCCTCCAAGTATTCTTGGTCTCTCTCTCTGCAGACCCAACTCCTTGCCATATTGCTCAAGGATTCAATGCATTTCCAAGAGACTTTGCCACCCAGTACTCAGCCAATTTGGCAAAGTCTAGACAGCTGCCAGTATCACAGGGAAATACCCACTGGCTGGATGCTTGACTCAAGCTCAGGCTACATCCTACTCATGAATGTGATCACCTTGAAATTATAACAGAGGGCATCTCAGACTTTTTAAATGCATTTACAGCAGTTTGCCCAGCAGCAAGAAAAATGCAACCCCCATCTACCTCTGGGAGCACTTCAATGGTCTGGCAGAAGAGATAGTGACCAGTGGAAACAGGGCATTAGCTCATTTGCCTGCAACTCAGAAATTCATTACTTTTTCTTTCACCCTCATGACGTATGTAATTGCTTAGAAACAGTTCCACCTATAACATATATTAAACATATTATGCACACATTTATATGCTTATATTAGTATACTAAACTCTCTAGATATATATTGATTAAATACATTACTGCTGGGGTTTTTCAGCCTGGAGAAGAGAAGGCTCTGGGGAGACCTCATTGCAAACTTTGGTACCTTAAGGGGACTTATAAAAAGAGAGGACAGGAAATTTTTATACAGGCACGTAGTGACAGGACAAGGGCAATGGTTTTAAACTGAAAGAGAATGGGTTTGGACTAGCTATTAGGAAGAAGCTCTTTCCTCAGAGGTCAGCGAGGCACTGGAACAGGTTGCCCAGAGAAGCTGTGGATGCCCCATCTCTGGAAATGCTCAAGGTCAGGTCGGATGGTGTCCTGAGCAACCTGATCTAGTGAACGGCCCCCCTGCCAATGGCAGAGGGCTTGGAACTAGATGATCTTTAAAATTCCTTCCAACCCAAACCATTCTATGGTTCTCTGATTATAAAACAACAAATTTTGACCAGGTAGAGCTTCTGCATCTGGCTGTCTTGTAACTAGCACCCTCCTTCAAATAATCATATGAATACCTTTCTCTGGCAGAGTCACAGGTAGACAATTACCTCCAAGTCCTTTCTTTTCTTAGAAGCATAATCCCAAATTCCTTATGTGCAGAACTATTCTCAGTAACTCTTTCCAAAGTTCACTATGCCACCAGAGAAATTCATCCCTACTCGGGTTTCCATCCTTAATCATGAGGATTGGGTTGGAAGTTTGGCCCAGTGCAGGCATAAGGAATAGTGCACAAGATTAGAAAGTTCAGTGTGGCAAAGTAATTACCTGACTCTATTCAGGTGTTCAGGGAACTAGTCACAAATCATCTGAAAACAGCTGTTCTCCACTGGGCATTGATTTGACCAGCGTGTGCTGAAAGCCAGACACCTACCTTGTCTCGAATCCCTTGTCTCATAACTTCTCTTTCAGCCTCCATCTTGGCATATTTGGCTTTCCTCTCTTCCTCTTGTTGCCTGAGGGCTTCCTGTCGTTCCTCTTCTTTCTTGGCAGCATCTGGGTCTTTCTCCTCATCTCCACCCAGCATCTTCCCCATGTCTTTGGTAGCCCCTGGAGAAAGCACAAAAGAAAATAAGCCTTGTTAGAATGCAGTGAAAACCACCATGATGCCAGCTTTCTCCTTCCCCACACTCAGGACCATCTTTCACTCGCTCTGCATCTGGAAAGGTTTCACCTTTCACTGAGGAGGCAGCACACTCCCCCCCCCCGGGGGCAGGAGGTGGGCAAAGCACTCAGCCTGACCAGATGAGTTACCCAGCACTGGCAGGAGAAGCACCGCAGCAAAAGGGAGAGACTACATCTGTAGACTTGCATGATGGCAGCATAGTTGGTTTGCAGTCCTGAGGGGGACAAGCTGCCTACACAATGTTTTCACTTCATCAGTTCAGTCAAGTGGCTGAAGATTGATTTTGAAGGGTCTTTAATGTAATAGGCAGGTAATACCTCCATAATGAAATGACACCAGGGCTAGGAAAGGAATTTGAAATCTTGATTGCAGGGATGAGTAATCACGGCCTTAATGGTTGTCAGGAATTACACACCCCACGGCAAGTAGGACCACACAGCACTAACAAACATTCAGAGTTGTTGACGAATTCTAGGCTCTTACTGTGGATCAGAAAGAAGCAGCATCTCTGCTTGTCTCTTATCTGCCCTTGGACACCATCACCTCTAATGCTTTGTATGTAAGTAACATCCTGGCTCTGCCTTGTCCTTTTTCTAGCCCTGAATACACATTGGTCCCAAATTTTCAATCCCTGTGTGTTCCTGAGACAGCTTTTTGCTGTTGTACAAAGCCCTTGCACAGCCATTCAAAGAGGTGATTTCCTGCATGCCCTCCTGTCCCTACAGGGTTGCATAAACCCATTCACCCTGTATTTCAGAGACACTTCTATTAGCAAATCACTGTCAATCATTCAGCTGGGCAGGAAAGCAGATGCTGGGGAAAGGGGAAAGCCTGTATTGTGATACTGCATCATCAGAGCACCAGAGGGTTGCAGCAGGATCAAGCCTGGTTACATGGATGAAGTAAAGACACATGTCCTTTAGAAGCTGCCTTGTACCTTGCCTGGAGCAGGAAAACACTCTGCATCATTTACTAAAATAGTTTCCTTCACCCTGGAAAAACGCTGGAGGTGGCTGGTTAGTTGCTGTCCTTATTTGCTGAGTCAGGACACCTCCAGATTGGCTCACTGCTGGCTGAGACTTAACTGAATTAATCTCAGACAGCCTTGTTGTAACGCACAGTCACAGGCACATACGTGTATCCATATTTATCATCTCTCGTCTTACAAAGGCTTAGGCTGGAAGGAGACACCATCAAAGTCCTTCCAAATAATTGTTTGTTTGCATTATCACAGGTTTTCACAACCCCTTATGTCTCCCCTATAAATTACCTCTTTGGTATGTCAACTCTGTTTGGAGGACTGTGTTTGTTTTTGCTTTCCACATCAGTTCTCGGGATAATGATGCCAAACCCTTGGTCCTTAAAGGCAGAAACATCTGGAACCTGTCAGAATGATTCCTCCTGAATTGCCCCAGTAATCACAGAATCACAGAAATATTCTCAGTTGAAAGGGACCCACAAGGTGATCATCATTCAGTCCAGCTCTTAAGTCAATGGCCCATACAGGGATTGAACCCTTAACTTTAATGTTATTAGCACCAGGCTCTAAACAACTGAGTTATGGCAGTTATCAGATTAACTATTGCCTCTAATAAACACCAAAGAACTTTTTAAGAGGTAAGCAATTCCTTTTTCTCTCCACATTTCTTTTCCAGGTCAGGTGTTTTCCCACAGCTCTAAACTGAAAGCAACCCTGAATCAAAAACAACCCTCCAACCCCCAAAAATGTGATAGAGATATGTCCCCTTTACATCTCCCACAGAGAAGCATGGGGAAACTAAATCTCACAAGATTGGGCTGTTATACACAGGGGGTTTTTTGTTAGGTGAGAAATAATAACAGCAAACATGACTGCCTCCATTCAGCTAGCTGAACCACAAGCCTGTTGACACTTCCACTGTTGGGAAATCTGTCACTAAAAACAGGAAGACACCCAGGGACCCCAAACAAACCCCACCTGGAATACTCACAGTCCCTATCTACTGTCAGTCTTCCTCTACTAAAATTTTGCATCCTTCTTTGCAAGGTAAGAGTAGTACAGGAACTCTTGCATATGGGCAAATTTACTCAGACCATCTGGTAATTTCTTTCCTGTAATGCAAGGAAGGCTAACTGAAACTGTAAGAAAGACAAAATTTCATAGCAAATGCAAAGGAAATGCAGTGTAGTTGGGTCACTTATTCCTACTGCAGGAATCTCTCTAAGCAGCCTTACTGTGTATACATCATTGATCACCAGTGCCACTGGTAATTTCTGGACCCCCTTGAACAGATTTTTTCCACTGATGATCAGTGGAACTGATTTGGGTTCAGTAATCTATCAAGTTTATCTCTTTTAACTTCTCTCCACCTAGAGCTTCTCAGACAGTATAATACACTAGTTACTTAGGAAACAGAATTCAGCAGCAGAAAGAGACTATTTTTTCCCTCTAAGCACTAATTCTAGGCTATCATTAAGTTATAATGTCAGCTTAGCTCATCATGTAAGAAACAAAATTGCATAACTTTCTTTTATCTCTTAGGCAAGAAGAAGATTTTAAATACTTTAGCATTGATTTTGCAGTTATTCAGCACACAGGACACTGAGAACAAGAAGAATGCAGTTTCAGGGTCCTCACAGGCTCTCTTAATTCACCTCTGATTTCAAAGTCACTTTGTAAATGTGCAAAATGCCGCACTGTGGTATCACTGTTAACTGATTGTAAAGAAATGTACTATCAGAAGAAAACTGTTACACTATACTTCAACTAAGGTCCCTTTTGTTACTTCTGGTGAAGAAAAGCTTTTTTTCCATCTAATTTGTTCTTCATCCTAAACTTCAGACTTTGTTGTAAACATTGTCTGGATAATAGCTTCTGTTCTTAGCAGCTCAGCACTGAATGCTCGAGATAATTGATCTACATTCAGCTGAGGTGCTGCTGTTACAGGCACAAGCAGAAGGAAAGAGCAGTTGTTCTGTCCTCAAGCCTACTTTTGAAGCTTTCAGGGAAACAGAGGGGAAGGACACACACACTGAATCTGTTCATATGATAAGCCTAGGTCTTTTTGTCTTCTTTCACATCCCAGTCATGACATCTACCTTGACATAAAGAGAAAATAGAGACTGCCACAGTAACCACTAGTCAGTGAGGAGTTTCAATCAACATTATTTTTAACATCTCTAGACAAGGCTACAGGAAGAAACCAGAAATGGCTAAAGCTTCAGGACCACATGTGCTGTCACCGTTCTGGCCACAACAAACAGCCCTGTCCGCAAAGGATAAAAAAACTTCCATAAGGGAAAGCATCCCAGAGGTGGCGTGTTTAGAAGACAAGTGGCATGGCAGTTATTTCAAAGTAATTGTCCTGTCCTTGACCCATATGGGCTAAATAGCTAGACAACCAGGTGTTAAACCAAATACTGTGAGGGCACTCAGATATGATGGGCTGGTTTGGCTGAGGTAGAGTTAATTTTCTTCACAGTGACTAGTAACAGGTTGTATTTTGGATATGTGCTGAACACAGTGTTGATAAAATAATTTTTATTACTGCTGAGCAGTGCCTATACAGAGCCAAGACCTTTTCTGCTTTTCATAGAGGCACACTGGCAAGGAGGCTGGGAGTGAATTGGAAACTGGGAGGAGACACAGCTGGGACAGCTGACCCCAGGTGACCAAAGGGATATTCCAGACCATATGACATCATGCTCAGTATATAAAGTGGGGGGAAGAAAGAGGAAGGTTGGGGAGGATGTTTGGAGTGATGGTATTTGTCTTTCCAAGTAATCATTACACGTGATGGGGCCCTGCTCTCCTGGAGATGGCTGAACACCTGCTGGCCCACGGGAAGCAGTGAATTAATTCCTTGTTTTGCTTTGCTTGAATGTATGGCTTTTGCTTTCCCTATTAAACTGCCTTTATCTCAACCCACACATTTTCTAGCTGCTGGGGGAGTGAGCAAGCAGCTGCGTGGTTGCTGGCTAGGTGTTACAACATACAGTTTCATGTGAGTTTTGCTGGTTTAAGTTGTCACCAGCCATCTGAAAAACAATAATACAGTTTTTCAGGTACATATGGGAGATGTTTCCCAGTGAAATAGCTGAAAAGCAGATCACCTGTCTGGAAAGCAGTTTTACAGTAAAGGCCTTGGTGTCCTGGTGGACAACAGGCTGACCATGAGCCCACAATGCATCCTTGCAACAGAGAGGGTCAAAAGCCTTCTGGGTTGCAGTGGGAGCACTGTTGTCAGAAGGTTGAAGGATTCTTCCCATCTACTCAGCCTTGGTAAGACCAAATTTGGAGTGATGTGCCCAGTTCTGGACTTCAAGATACGAGAGAGATGGACTATTGGAGTGAGACATCAAAGAAGTGAGACAGCCCTGAAGAGGAGACTCAAGGATCTTGGGTATTAGGAGAGGCTGAGAGAGCTGGGACTGCTTAAGCTGGAGAAGAGATGGTTCAGTGGGGGTCTCAGCAGTATGCACAAACACCCAACGAAAGGGAATGAATAAAGAGAGAGTCAGACTCTTCTCACTGGTGCCCAGTGACAGAAAGGATCATAAGTGCAAACTGAAACACAAGGAATACAACTAAAAAATAAGAAAAAGCAAATTGAGTTGAAGAAAGTGTCTGTGGAGTCTCCATCTGTAGAAATATTTAAAACTTCATAGGTCACAGCCCTGAGCAACCTGAGTAACTGAGTTACCTGAGTAACTCTGCTTGAGAATGAGATTGGACTAGATAACCCCTGTAGATGACTGCCAACCTCATATATCGTGTGACCCTGTGAGACCTCTCAAGTAAGTGGTTTAAATGGTAACTGAAAGAGACTGAAGTGAATTTTGCAAGGAAAAGGGTGAAGAGCACATACTTAAACAGATCCTGCCTCTAAACTGAAAAAAAGTAAATTCGTAAACTGCCTGACCTCTGTTGCAGGAGCACCACCAA